GTTATAGGTTAAGAACTGATTATTCAAACAAATAAATGAATGTCTAGATTGATGTATATTATTGTACTTGTTTTGGTTGTAAAATATTCAGCTTTCAAAATTTCAAGAAATTGTAAAATTTCAAGAAATTGTAAACTTTCTATAATGATCAAAATCCATTTAGTTGTTACTCTTATGAATCAACATACCATTTCATTACTTAACAGACATCAATGTGAACCTTTGAATTAAACATTAAAATCATCGCAGCATACCCTAGTCATTTTACCTTTTAGCTGTTATTTTCATGTTTTGATAGAAAGTGTGTTTGTATTATCTGTCCTTAAAATGTAATTTAGACATGCCGTTGTGACTTATCAAATGCAGTATATTTCATCTATGCATGCCTAATTCTTTGATGCGCGTGCATTGTTTGATACTCGGCTACTCACGCGCGAATGAAAGGTTATCTCTTTTATCCATTCATCATAGATGTTCGCATGTCAACGAAAGCTTCTCGAATACCACTTTATCATTTCATCAATTCCAGATTCACTGGCTTGATAACATGCACATATTATACAAAACGTAAAAAAAGAACACGAAAATTTTATTTGGTGGAAAATAAAAATTTCAACAATCGTAAAATCTGCAAGAAAGAAGAAACTTAAAGCACAGCATGACATCATTAAGAAAACTTATATCGAAACCCTGATAAGGTTGAAGCGTTATCGCTCATCGTTTAACGTAAGACCAGAGTGGGCTTGCACGTGCACTCACTATTGCTATCCCTTTGCTTTGAGAGCCGTAGACGACATCGTCAAGGCTTTCAAAGGAAAAGCTTCGCAGTTTCAAAGAAATGTATTTCGGAAATATTATTGAATATGAGTATTTGATGTTTAGTATTCTTAATAAATACAAAAGCAGAATATCGATCAAATAAGAGCAATTTTTCATTCAGAAGGTTTATTAATTTCTTGATCTCTGCTTACTGTAATTGATATATGGCCTGCAATGTGAAATACGTGCTTTGTACAGAGTAGAAAAATATATTAAAACATTTCTTCCAAAAATGGCTGTAAAGTATCGCCTTAAAGATAGTTGTTGTTAAATACTGAATATAGGGTATAACCTAGAAAAAAATATACATTTATCATGCACTAAATTAAACACACAAGATACTACAAATTACATTGATGGGACATTCATGTAAAAGAGGGATAAAAAAGGAATGCGAGATAACTTATGGAAAGATAACTCCTGACCGCTGACCTGCAGGCGGTACCAGATAGCCTCGACCTTCATGGTCCATTTATGCTACATACAACGGATATAATTGGTCAACAGGAGATGCTTATACCTTCTAGGCACCTTGTTGCTGTTGTTGTTGGGGGGGGGTTTAATTTCCCAGGATTTTAGTTTTATATCCCATACTTATTCAGGCTATGGTACGCAACAAAATAATTGCAATTTATGTACCAGCCTCCATTAATGATTTCTTCTAGGTCAAGGTGCATTTTTTTCAGATTTCCTATTTCCTGTTCACTGATATTGTGATTCATTGATCAAATCACCAATTTTTTTCTCTCTCATATTTTATTAACAAACATTGTGTTTGAAAACTATGAAATGAGAATTGATTGTCTTAAGTAACTTTAAACATCAATAAATGCAATATTTAGCTACTATAAAAACATCAGATTCCTTATTGGACTTTAGGGATCTTTACTGTTCTTCATGTTCATGAACTGTATTTCCTAAGCTTTTTAACAATTGATTTTTAGACGTTTGAAGCTAGTCTATTATATACAATGAATTAGACTCTATAGTAAACATTATTCAAAGATATACAAAATAGAAAAATAATCGGAACGGATATATGCTCCGCTGGATTCTATGTGTATCTCTTATGCAAATAAAACATTTTTTAACGTTACCAGATTGTTAAAGCTGCAAAAATTAAAATTCGATACTTTTATTACATGTAACCCAAAACAATGCGATACAAAACAATTTATTTACAACAACAAAAAAGGAGCAAGACAATACAGAAAACTATAAACTCAATAAAATTCCAAGCAAAACCGTTTTCTATTTTAATATATAATGGAATCAATTGAAAATGTAAAAATTAGTTTATACTGAACAACGTTTTGTGACTTTTAAAAAAAAATCGAAGGTAAACATTTATAATTCACTCACAAAAATCTTGCTTCAGTTAGTATTTTCAGGAAAAAAAAGATTGTATAGTATATATCATCTGTCATAGTCATTTTAAATACACCATTCAGTTGTTATTAAAACTAGTAGTTAAATCTCATGCACAATTAATGAAAATACTTTGATAATGCATTTCGTAAAGTAGCGTGTAATTTAATGGCACCATGCTGTAGAACTGTCTATTGAGTATTTGTACGCAAGAAAGGAGTCCTTTTAATAGTGCTTCAAGAAATCATTATAGGAACCAGACTGAATGTTAAATACTCTCATGTACATGTAATTGCAAGGGAAATTATATTTTTACTGTGTGTTTCAATCCAGATTAATATTACAAGAATATTGTTTTAAAAAACTTCAAGAAAATGTTTAAATGTCATATTCTTGTGTGTTTTCTTCTTGATGTTTTCGGGAAATTTTCACATCCTCTTTCTTTGGAAAAACAGCTGACAAGAAACTTTTATTTTGACAACACTCTGCCATTACATTCCTTGTACTACGTAAATGTTTTCGAAGGCGTTAGTCAAGATGAATGCGCTGTGCACTGCTTAATACTAAAATCGGCGTGTGTTGGAATATTGTATAACAAAGCGCTCTTTTCATGTAAACTCATGAAATGCTATCTCAATGAAAGGTCAATTGATAGAAATCGTGCTGATATCGGATGAAAATCCTGGTTTCAGAATAACGGTAAGTTTATTAACCTTTGTATACATTTACTTATATTCAAAATAACGGTAAATTTATTAACGTTAATCATTTTATACATTTAACTTATATTAACGTAAGATGATGATTAAAAAAAAATGTATTTTTTTACAGATTTAGGCATTTCAATCTGAAAAAAATCTCCCTTATGTTTTTTTTATTATCAAACGTAATTTATTATGATTTCCATTCTTCAATTTTTAAATGTTTTTTTTCAATTTGTTTGTGTAGATATTTTCTGAGTGTGTTTATTTTTGAACATTGTTACAAATCGAATGAATTTATTATGATAATGCAAAGGTCAAATTTTTCCATTATGATTAATGATTTGTTTGAATTTTTTTTTTTAAGTGTATATGTTTTTTTAGCTTTGCCCTGATCGGTTGGTTTCCTTTTGACAAATTGTTACCAAGAAAAAAGTTTTAAGCAGAGATTTTATAAATTCCTCTTCAACGAAAAAAAATAAAACCCCACATAAAATGGGAAATGCAAAAATAAATGTACGATCCATCCATAAATATGATTAATGCTTTTCTGAAATAAAGAACCAAGCTAGTAGCATTTTGCTTAAAATATCTGTGAATTAATATTATTATCTTGGAATCTGAATATTATTCATGAACCTATGTACTTTTGCATGGATTGCATGACAAAGATTTGTGTTGCAAATAAGCGCCTTTTAATCATTACATTGCAATGGAATATATGTACAAAAAACACAATGTAACTATACCAAGAAACAAGTTTTAAGTAAGACATTTTACTTCAATAGAAAAAAAAATGACTTCAAAAAGTGATCAATTTAATAAAAAAAAACCCTTTAAACAATACATATCTGTAAGCAAGTATCTCTGGAAATTCATTAGGACGCATCAGTTGCCTTGGAGGACCACGACCTGAAACTTATGACGAAACATTCCATAGTCAAATGTAGAATAAACACAAAGCTCTAATATTTTATTAATCAAGTCAGCAAAAAATACGATCCAATGATGGGTGAAATTTGGTTTCATTAGCAAAGCTATTTAAAATTATTTTTGTATGTAACAAAATGTACTAGATTTTAAATTTTGAATTAACGATTATTTTAAAGTATATATGAAGCTCCACTTAAAAGATAAAAGGTAGTAATATAAATGTATACACTCATACTTTTTAGAATCAAAAGACCTTGATTCTGAATGATATACTGTTATTGTTGTCTAAAATTATATCAATAATGGGCTCTCAACTAATTTTTATTTGTCTAAATCATTTTTTTTTTTATTGAAGTTCAATGTTTTGGGAAAATTGGAAAGAAATTTTGACTTCTATTAGCAAAGTGAATATAATTTAATAGATTTATGAAGGAAGTTGTTTATGACTACAGAAGTAGTCCGAAACAAATGTTATGCTTTTATTCACTTATTCTGATATGCAGTCGGCCAATGCCTGCATCGACTGACTTTAAAAGTCAGTATTTGACTTTGATAACATTATATGTAATGCACAATATATACTAAGCCTGCTTAAATATAATGGAAGTCCTTTGAGGAATTGGGAAATGTTAATTATTGCATCCGCATATCTTTGTACAAATTAAGTTGCATTGCAACAATACATGTAAGGAGATTTAAAATGGAAAAATATATGGTGAAAACATGATGAATTATATCAGTATTTTCCTTTTACCAACCCAGAATTTAACTTTATTGTGCTCCACTTTGAAAAGTAAGATTTTGTCAATTCAAATGTGTGCTTCAGAATAGGTTTTTGTAAGATGATGCACCGGCCACTTGTAACTACACCTTGAAAAGAGGATATTTGCAAAAAGAAGAGTTTACACAAATTAAAATTTAGTTGAGACTATATTCAATGCAATTATGCAGTTTGGGAAATGCAAAGTAATAGTTGAAAACGAATGCAGTATTTTAGGCAAAAATAAATTGAACATTATCATTATTATCTCAATTCAACTTTAAAATTACACCAAAATAAACTAACGGACAATATGCAGAAAAAGATAAATTAATGCATTTCAGTTTAAAATACAGTTATATTAGTAAACACAATGGCAAATGTATTTATTGTTACATATCAAGAGAATAATCCTAAAATAATGTCAATTCACCTATTAATAATAAGATCATATGCATTAATGTCATTATAGAAACAATGTGAACAATATGGTGCGTACCTTGTTGAAATAGATACATATGCAGAAAATGTATGGATCATGGAGGCTTTTCTTCCTGCTTGGAATAATGGTAAGACGCTCAGTTTCTATACTCAACCAAATAGAAAACCACTGGAAACATTTAGCATTGAATATCTCTTACCTAAGTGAACAATAAATTGGGCCTTTGAACCCCGGAATCAAAGCACAACTCTTGTTTTATTTACCTGATAAAACGTATATGTATGTTGAAAATCAGTTATGATGTCTCATATGACGTGAACGTTGATATTATGAGATAGCTGTGTTTTATTATGATTTTAATTAAAACATATAATTCATCAAAGTATAATAAAATTATTGTCATTATCCCCAGCACTACGATGATTCTAAGGTATAAATTTTAGATTTGTTCTCTTAAAAAAAGCAAATCTTCGGAAAGACAAGACGAAAAATTTAAACATTCATACGGTATGCTGAGTAATGTGGGATTCATGTTAAAAGATTTAAAATAACCTTTTTAGTGAGTGTTATTAACCAGTTACTGATTGAGTATGAGGGCAACATATGATTTGTTGGATCTGAAGGTAAAATTTGTTAGATCTGAAGGTGAAAATGTTGCCTGAGCCACAGGCTTCTAACTTCGGCTATTTCCGTGTCGATTATATTGAACGACGGATAATAAATTGTAACATGACAGTGACGTTGTAGTCTAACGATTCTTATTTTGGACTAACAGGCCGGTTAACAATAAAATTGTTAGGTTGATGCAAAAAACATTTCTTTTGTTGGACTTTTTATTAGTAATAGATATAAAGAACGATATTTATAAGGGTATAACAATTGATTTTGTGTTGTAGCTGACTGCTCCAATTGGCCAAAATGCTGTAATTTTTGGATAGGGGCAACGGATATCGATAACGAAGGAACATTTACTTGGAATCGCCATACCAATGTAACATTTTCAAACTGGCGCAACAATCAGCCTAATAATTGGGGAGGAAACCAGCACTGTGTCGAAATTTGCCGAAATGGATTCTGGAATGATCTCAACTGTAACACCAATAGTGCATTCATCTGTGAAAAAGAGTTTTGATCCAGTTACAGTTCGAATGCAAGAAAAGTGATGTGTATTTTTTTATTGTCAATGATCTTAGGGATAATACATATGAAATTATGAATTGATGAACTTTTACATTTTTATAAGGTTATAACTATATTGAATGTTAATAATGTAATGTATTTATAGCTTCACTTTAATTCGTAATAAAATATTTCGTAAAATTCCTAAGACCATATTGTTTAACTGAATTTTCTTCTTAATATTTGCGTTATTACAATATATTGACAATATATATTGTCAATTAACAATTGTAATTTCCATTCTTATGTCGATGCGATATATCCTGGTAAGCTTGAGATGAAAGATACCACAGAGTCTGACACACCTGTTTCATATTTGGAAATTTTACTTTAAAGAGACGTTAATGGAAATCTAACAAACAAGTTCTATGATAAAGGTGATGACTTTACTTTACAATCGTCAACTACCCGTACTTCTGCAGCAATATACGTTCATCACACAGGCACCTGACGTTACTTGTTTTTCTTTTAATAAAAAAAATATATACCTAATAATAAACAAGGTACCCATATGACCGCCATCTTGGATTTTCGAAGTAGGTATTCACTTTATTTTACGGAGTTTCAAATTCGAAAATACAATTGACATGACCATATTGTTTAACTGAATTTTTATTAAAGATGGCGTTATTACAATATATTGCAAATATTAAATATTACAAACTTGTTCTATATATACGTATGATATATTTTTTTATTAGAAGAAATAAGTAACGTCAGGTGCCTGTGCTTCGTCACCTGCATACGGAGTTTGTATATCTCAGTTGATTCGATACGCAAGAGCATGCTTTACGTATGAACAATTTCTAAAACGAGGTAAATAATTGACAAACGTTAAAAAATTGATGAAACAAGACTATAAGAAATCTCGTTTAAATTCATCATTTCGTAAGTTCTATTATCCATACAATGACCTTGTCAGTAAATACAATTTATCATTGAGGCAAATGCTGAAAGACATTTTTCGTACTAATTGTTTCACCACAGAACTGACGACGGATTCTTTACGTTATTTTTCGAACATGACATGGAGCACACGGCAGGTGTGACCGGTCGGCAGGAGATCCTCACTCCTTCATGGCACCTGATCCCATTTGATCTAACCTCTGATGTTTTGGAGGTCCCCATTTGCTCTGCTCCTATTTTGATTTGTTTGATGGACTATTTCACTCTTTACTTTGGTAACCAAAAACTGTATATTTTTATGCAAACTTTGAGGATCAAGGTTGTTAGGAAAATGAGCTTAGATCCACTCATATCGAAAAATAATGTTATAGTGTCTGAAAATGACTCTTTTTGTCGTCTTTTGTGTGTGTATGATATTTTATTAGTAAATAAATTCAATCTTTGTGATATTTTTGCAAGTAGCAGAGATTTAACATAAAGTATACTTTTATGCAATATGAAATAGTGGTAAAATGTTAATGTAACTGAGATTTAATTTTTCATTTTCATGTTTGTCGCACCATAGGCATTTCTCTCATCATATTCACCCATCTCCTTTGACTCTTGAATGGGACATAAAAGAACACAAAATCAATAAATCAAAGGGTATAATTTAATGATAAATTAAAGAGTATGTAAACTGTAAATGCGCTACTGGAACATAGGCTTACAAGACAAAAAAAATAATAGATATCATCCTCTACCACCTGCTAATGGTGTTTTTATCTCTTAACTTATTTTCGATGATTATAAACGATCATTTTTTAAACGAGGCATGCTACTCACTCATACATATAAGTTGATGTTACTTAGATTTCAACAAAGTCCTTCAAAGTCGGTATTTGTTCAATATCTATGGTCGTTAAATTGACCTTTTCAGCAAATATAACTTTTCATTGGGTCGTGCTTTAGCTGACTTGTTTCCTACCAATTGATAGGCTGTAATAAATTGTCAAATTGATAAATCGGTTTTTAAAGTTTTAGAATTTACTGTAAGTCCAAAAATATGAATTTCACAAATACAACTTTCGTAGATGGAACAAACTGAATTTTACAAAGAATTTCTTAAGATTGACTCACTTACAAACTCACTCACATCTAATCTTTGACAACTCCTCCCACTTTCGTACTGACCAGCCAATTAAATTAAGGATAGAAAATTGCAAGAACAGGGGGAATCAGTATGACATTAATTTACAACACTGAAATTAGGTAGAGCTAAGCATAACAAATTCAAAGAACACGATCCTAAGATCTAACCATAAAGTTGATAACAAGTATGAGTAAATGACATTGATATCGTGAGGCAGGAAAGAGATGTCAAGAATTAAATATTGGTAACATGTGCAAAAATGCCTTTCCTAAACATCAAATGAAAACAATTAACTTTCAACTACAGATGTCAAACAAGACCGAAAAGTAATAAACAATTATATAAAAATATATTCATAATTAATAATTTGTCATTTATAAACCCTTATAACCCATAATCATAACATCCGCCCACAGAAAATAAAATTGTAAAACAATTTTACATGGGGTTAATAAATGCAAATTAATATTTTTAAAAAAATGAATAAAAATGAGGATTAGACAGGAAAAAAAATGAACAAGTGTCACATACAATTTACAACATGAGTAAAAACTCAAAACAATGTTCTCGTACTTGCGCTTATCAATAAGCTGTACATTAGAAACATATTAAATTGTAATTGTAAAATTAGGTATAACCCGTAATGACACAAATGATTGAAAAGTAATACATGTATCCATCTAACATGTAAGTACCATGGTTTACAAAACAATTAGAAACATGGAGACATTGATATACAGCAGCTGAAATAATTACTTAGATAAAGGATGACTTCTAAACAGCCACAGTCAAACAGTAATTAAGACCAATTCTCTGTAATCACCAAAATATTTTGGCACGCATAGTTACAGATTTAAATTTTTATATCATAATTTAATACAGGTGTGTGAGTGATTGTAAAATCTAAAAATAGTTTTTGAATTGTAACCTTGGTTGCCATAGAAACGGGATATAAACTTTCTCATTTTTGTAAATCATGAAAATCTGTACTTTTCATAAAAAACCATGTCTAGAAATAAACAGAGATATCTAAATTTGTTTTTATTGTTGTTATCCAATACTAGAGATTCAAACAACAATGTTTACAGTTCAAATTTAATTTTACACTCGTAAGTGGTCATGTTATGCATTGCAAAATGTCAAAAATATAGTAAATTTTGCTTAGTTTTTTTAAGACATAAAACAAAAAAATGCAGCCATGTACAAATTAAGCAATAATAAAACATGAAAGGTTGATATTTGATTATAATTAAACAATTAAAAAATTGGTGGGCAAATGATATGTGTTAAAGAAATTCAAAGGTGAATATCCATTTTTTTCTGCATTTTGAAGCATTTTTTGCTTACCAATTACTTCCCTTTGATTACTCTCTCGCGTTTGGAGGTAAAATATGTAGGCACTTGTAATGGTAAATAAATAATTTGGTGAGAAAACTTAGCAAAGCGGGTCCGGGGTGAGGATTGGCAGTGTGGAAGAAGGAAAAAAAGCCAAGATAAGAAGACAAGAGGTAATTATAAATATTACAAATGCTAAGTATGCATACTTATTTCTCCATTTAATTGGCTTGCATGCATGTAACCTGAGATTCCTCTGCTTTGAAAATTGTGACACATGAAGGGGCCTCTGCCCTGACTCTCCCCGGTACATTTCACAATTGAAAAAATACATAAAAATACATATAGATGGCAGAGCATGAAGACATACATCAGGTCAGACACAATCTCCTTATATTTATAAAACCAATTCCAGTACACTGAATTGATTTTAAAAAATATATAGATATCAAGGCCTATATTTCAAAGCAACTTTTTAATTTTTTTTTCTTTTTATTAAGAAAAGAAAAATAATCGCAAGTAAATGACTACACGTGTATTAATATTTATACTAGGGAAGTTTTAAAAACAAAAGCAGAGATAATTTGAAATTTTTTTGGAGGGGGGGGGGTCTCCTTCAGTGGGTTTGACAAAATGGGATAATTATAATAGCTGATGTGAAATATATCCTAAATGAAATGCAAATTTTCAGTACCAAAAAGGGGGGAAGATTATATTTTTAATTTTTTTTTTCTTGCAAATCTACAATGCCTCAATGGAGAATCAATTCTCTAAAAGGAAAAATACAGAAAAATTGCCTGCAAAGGTCAATGCTTTCCATACAAATTTATGGGACTGAAAAAAATTATAGCCTAATATTTTGCACTGTAAATTTCTATCCCATGTGTTCACAGCATTATTGATCAAGTAGTTCTTGACCTGAACAGTTTTTGTATGGATAATATATGACTTTCCTTTTGATCATGTTGACAGAAAGATAATTAATATATATACTGTATAATCCCTATTAACCGCCCCTGCCCCTAATAGCACCCCTTAGGTCTTTTTCAATTGTCAGGAAATAAGGGCCCCCTGTACAGTGATAAAAATCAATAAGAATGGTATAACATATCAAAAAATTGAAGAAAATGAAAATGAAACTTGTCTATTACCCAATATCTTGGTGGAAAATTAAAAAATTAGCATAATTTGGGTGGATAATTTTCACTTTCGGTAAAGTTAGACATTATGTTAGTGGTTCCTTGTATTTTTTTTTTTTTCAAAAGATTTTTTGAACTTAAAATATGACATAAATATCATAAAGAGAATACCAAATAACCGCCCCCTTTTTGCAAATTTCTTAGCGCCCGGGGCGGTTAATAGGGATTATACGGTACGTATTGATTTTTATTATAAAATTAGTCAATTTTTATCTTGAATTAAGTGATTTTTAACATGATTAGATTCTTATTTTTTTTATTTTGTCAAAGGATTCACCAAAGAGGATGAAAAGGAAAAGGAACATAAGCAGATACACATGTAAATCATGGCTATAACAGAATTCGAATGAAACCTTGGAGTTAATTTTGGAAAAGACAATTTCAGGAATTGGGACAGCTAACCAGTTTCAAAAATCAAATCTAAATTGTTACAAAAACACAGCACTAC